TACCATGAAGGATGTAACTTTATTGTATAAAAAGCCATATTTCGTACAATGTATTAACCAAAGTGGTTAGGTAGTCCTCATGGAGGAGGTATTTTTTTTAGGCTTTACAATTGATTAAATGATATATTTTGTATGATTTAAATATATCCAAGCTTGGTGGATTCCTTGCATTTTATCGCGTGTTTCAAGGACAAGGAATAAATTTCTTCTGCATATGATGAAGAAATAAGAGATTATTATATCTTCTGGATCATAATAAAGAACTAATTAAAGTTAGATATACAAAATATATGAGGGATGTGATTAAGCCCATAATTAATTACACGTGAACGAAAGCGCAACTCAACGTCTAGTACGACGCTCGATCTTGAGTTCAATGTTGACAAGTAGTTCACGTAGTAATTTATAAACACTAAATGATAAATATCATCTCGGGGTAGTGTTTGATACTGCATTGGAAAAGAAGGTTGAATATCTTAATAGATCTTTTGAAAAAGTGTTGGAATTGCAGAACACGATTAAAAGATCAACCTATATGAACATGAAGTGCGGCCGCTTCACCAAATTAGGGGCTTGACTTGGTTATATTCACGAATGGATATGGGCACATGGCCTGAACAGAAAGTGTCAAGTTATTATTGTACTTTAAGAAAAATTTGTGTGTGTAATATCTTCAATATTTTAAAGCAGTTACATAGTTCAAAGCCTAGTCTACTATTGTAATCCAAAATATTGTAAAGTGTATTACACTAAGTGGAAGTTCAATATGCGTTACACTTTCATTTATGCATGAATTTTTTGAAATTTGTCTTGTGGGCATATTTATATATTTTGAATTCGAAATAAATGGAGGAGGATTGTTGGAGATTTATTTTGAATTCAAAATTGAATTTTAAATAAATAGGCACAACTCTTTGAAGAGACATGTTTATTCTTAAATGACATAACTCTTGAATATTTATTTTGAATTTAAATTGGAAGTTTTTAATTAAATGGGTGTGTCTCTTACAAAAGAGACATGATCATTTATAAAGGGGCATATTATTTTCTATAAATAGGGCCCATGTCACAATGCAAAGAGAGGGGGGAAATTATGTTAGAAAAATGATTTATTATTAATTATTATTTCATTGATTATTTAGAATAATGAAGAAATAATGTATTTATTTCTTATGTTTATTCTATGAAGATGAAATATTAATTAGTGTATTTTTCTATGTTTTTTTCGTCTCCTTTGTCTCGAGACAAGTCTCGTTAAAGTACATTAGCAAATTGTTTCGTAGAGCAACCGAACAATTTGGTCTTCTTCATTGTATCCTAAAAGTTCTATCTTGTAACCCTTGTTGCTTATAATAGGGTAGATAAGAAACTTTTAGGAAAGCGTTTCCAAGGATCACGCGCCTTGAAGGTTTATCCGGTTAATTTAACCAACCATATTTTGAACTACGTGTGGCTTGATCCCCTTCATTGGGGTATGTAGGCAACTTAGAATATTTTATTTTTCTAAGTGCAGTCACAATAATAAAATTATTTTTTATTGTTCCAACAAAAACTTGGGGCCAGGCTGGCCCTGGTTTTCACTACTTTGCAACTCAAGGTCGGTTGCATCCCCCTTAAGTATTATATACTTTTAACTCTAACTTTGGACAACAAGAAGAGAGCAAAACAACCCAAATATGTTTGGTTCTACCCTGATCCCAAATACTAAGGGACAAAGAGAGATAGGCTTGTGGATCGATTGTTTGAATAAAACGGTACAAGATGCAGGATGGTATAAAACCCAAATCATTCTAGCCTATGCTCACAACTATTTAGAGTATAAAAACTTTTTATCGACCACAACTACAAGCTTGAACTTGTAGTTGTTGTCCTATGATAAGCTTTTATACCCTCACGTGTAGGCGATATTTTTTTTGTTTGAGCCTTGCACGTGAAAATTAATTTTTTAAAGATGGCAAGGTGGTGAGGTTCGAACTCAAGATCTCTTTGTCAGCAAGACCTTGATATTATGTCAAAGAACCAACTCAACTCAAAAAATCTAACTGTAAATAATTTTTTGGGAACGGAAGGAGTATAAAATATGTTCCTTCCTTCTTTGTGTGTGTGTATCTTTCAAATTTTTTTACTTTATTTTTTCCTAGGATTTATTGTCCAAAATTTAAAAAAAGTGAAATTTGCATTAAATAGTACTAAAAATATGGTATTTTCCAATGTAGTACTTTTAACTTTTTTATTCTTCAAATAGTACTTGAATAATGTTAAATGGCGGGAATAATGTCCTGTGATGGTAGACATTTAGTTTGAACAATGTCCAGTGCGCTGGACATTTATTTTAAAATAATCAGTGGATATTGATTAGTGGTACAGCGTTGGGCGTAAATTAAAACATATGGTACTACATTGAGAATGTTTAGTACTATTTAGGTAAATTCCCCAATGAAATTTGCACTAAATATTACTAAAACATGTCGTTTCTCAATATAGTACTTAAACTTTTTTATTATCTAAATAGTACTTGAATAATGTCTAGTGGCGGGAACAATAATGCCCAGTGATATTGAACATTTAGTTTGAACAATGTCTAGTACGTGGCGGTAGACATTTACTTGAAGTCTTGAACAACGACCACTGGACATTGAACACTAGTACTAAATTAGGAAATAAAAACATTTGGTACTACATTGGAAAAGTCACTATCTTTTAGTATTACTCCCCTTGAATAAAATTAATAAATTATTAAGAGAAAGACAACAACAACAACAACGACATCCCAGTTGAATCCCACCACAGTAGGGTCTGGGGAGGGTGTGTGTACGCAGACCTTGCCCCTACTCAGAAGTATGGAGGCTGTTTCCAAGAGACCCCCGGCTCAACCTCCACAAAATTATGGAAGGGAACATAGTATAATACGGGTAAAGCACCAAGTACAAGCAACAAGTACAAGCAATAGCAAAAGATTCCAAACAAACACAACACACTACAAACAAACTCTACAGCACCGAGCTCCTATCCAGCTACTCTAATCCTAGTTCTCCAAAGGTTCCTATCTAAGGTCATATCCTGGATTATTTAGAGAAAGACAAATTAGAGAAAATTGAAATTATCAAAGCATCATAACTGAAGTAATAACATACTGCATAAATTAATCTACACCGTAATATGTATATATTGATGAGAAACAAATTATTGTTTAAATAGAACCCAAGAGTAAAATATGATGATTAAACTAGGTTATGATCATACACTCTAATTTGTAAATCATATTTTTCTATATTTTTGGTATTCTATTTTAATTATGTGAATACTTATTTGATACGTAGTACTTGGTCCGTCCCTGAGTGTTTGTCCACTTTTGATTTTTGGAACTGTTCATCTAAGCACTTTGACTCATCAAATTCTCTCAATGTGTAAGCCTAAAAATAGTCATGTGTGATCTTGTTTGATTCGTCTTAACATATAGATTATTAATATATAATTTTTTATAATTTTTTAATATACAAATTACAAGATAAAATGGATTAAAGAAGTGCATTGGATGGTGTGCAAAAATGAAAGTGGACAAACACTCAGGGACGGAGGGAGTATAATTTTTTAAATGATTTAACTCAATTCAATCCTCACCAGTGACAATTCAATTCCCCTTGTGCCAGCTCTCTTCTTGCGGCCTTTCGGAGCGAATGGGGATTAGTCGGGTGAGCCTGAACCGTAAGACAGGCGGAAAAAAGACCCCGAACCTCGTGGTTTACACCTAAGAAATTCATTTTAAATAGTACTAAAATATATGTTATTTTCCATTGTAATATATTTAAACTTTTTAATTCTCTAAATAGTTCTTGAATAATGTTTAGTGGCGGGAACAATGTCCACTGATGGTGGATATTTATAGTTTAAACAATTCCCGGTGGAGGTGGATATTTACTTAAACAATGACCAGTGAACAATAACCACTGGTACTATATTTGGAAATAAAAACATATGGAGTGACTACATTGGAAAACTTACTATTTTTTATTACTCCCTCCGTCCCTGAGTATTTGTCCACTTTTAACTTTTTTTGGTCAAAATTAGTAAACGTTGACCTCAAATTAAATAAAAATGATATTAGATATTGATACAAAAAAAAAGTTTTATAAGATTTATTATATCAAATATTTTCAAAATATTATTTTATTTAATTAAAATACAATATATATTTTATTTAATTATAAGTGAAAGGTTAAAAACAGGTTACCGAAAAAAGCTAAAACTGGACAAATACTCAGGGACGGGGGTAGTATTATTTAGGTAAATTCTCTTTAAAATAGCCTTTAAAAAATTTGGGAGGCGTTGCCAACAGTGCCCCGAATATTTTTTCAGGATTTGCCAGCTGGTAGACCTTTTTTTTAAATTCTAGAGAAGTGGAAAAGGAATACTTTAGTACTCGTACTACTTAGCGTCCATATTAATTCTAGAGACTAATTGCATCTACTTGTAAATTAATTAATTATGTGCATGCAATTATTATAACTTTGTCAAAATAGAGTTGTGAAAACTAAATCGTAATGGCCTTGTTTTCTTGAGAGTTTTCCTGAGCTATGAGAAAAAATTTGTCATGCATGAAGAAGTGCATGTTCCACATTTAAGGCCGAAGACTTCAAGTTAATTTAATTAAGAGGAAATTAGGTTTTGGTTGAGAAAATTAATTACTTCTTCCGTCCCTGAGTATTTATCCAATTTCGACTCTTTTTTGTTAATATTTTTTAACTTTTGATCTATAATTAAATAAAATATATATTGTATATTAATTATATAAAAAGATATTTTGAAAATATTTGATTAAAAACTCTAATAAAACTATTAGAGTTTTATCAAAATTTTTATTTCATTTTTATTTTATTTGAGGTCAAAGTTTATCAATTTTAACTGGAAAAAATCAAAAATAAATAAATATTCAGCGAAGGAGAGAATATATTGATTTGTTTGAATACGAAACACTGACATACACACTATATATACTGAGCATTAAGCTTCGTAGTAGTTCACAAAAGAAATAATTTATATTTTTCCGAAACATTTCTTTAGAATGGCAAAGGGGAAGATGAAAATTTTGTCATTACTATGCGTTTACTTTGTGGCAACCTCAGTGATCGCTAGAAATGTGAGAGATGACAATGAGAAGACTGGGTTAATTGGTAAGGGTGCTAAAATTGGAGGTGGCGTCGGTGGCACCATTAGCGGTGGTGTAGGGGGAGGTGTTGGTGGTAGAATTAGCGGTGGAACCGGAGGTGGTGTAGGTGGTGGAACTGGAGGTGGTATAGGCGGTGGAGCTGGAGGTGGTGTTGGTGGTGGAGCTGGAGGTGGTACAGGTGGTGGAGTCGGAGGTGGTGTTGGTGGTGGAGCTGGAGGTGGTATAGGTGGTGGAGGCGGGGGTTCTGTTGGTGGTGGAGCTGGAGGTGGTGTTGGTAGTGGAGTCGGAGGTGCTATTGGTGGTGGAGCTGAAGGCAAAATAGGTGGTGGAG